AGCACTGAGATTTTCTGCCTGCAACTTTGTTCCCAGACCCTGAGAGATTCTTTTCAGCATACCAACATACAAGTCAGCATGGAGTTCCAAACTTCCAGACTGTAGCTTGGCCAATCAAGCCAGCTTTCATAGAGCAAAATCTCAACTTTACCAAACAGAGGCTGGGGAGCAAATTTTGTTTGAGAAAAAATGTTTTGCACTCTTTCAGCTCTGTGGAACCATTAAGTTTTTGGTTCTTAGTACCAAGCAAAGGTAGCACAATGTCGGTAAACATTTTTTTTTTTCCTTTGGCAAAGCTAGACTGTCTTTTGGTAGTCATCTGTAACATTTTTGTTCACTTTTCATTCCATCAGCATCCTGGTCCCAGATCTGAGCGCCCGGCGCTGCACCACCTTTATCTTCTCCATCCTGTTTTCCCTACAGTCCTTTTGGACCTCACCAATGCAACAGACAAAGTCATTGCTTCAGCAGGTGAGTTCAAATGGTGGAGAGACTACCTAGCCTAAAAAAAATGGAGGAATGAAGATGTAGCTGTAAAAAACAAAGTGGTATACTTGTGGTATACCACATGTACTAATAGGTAGTATTTGAAATCCACCACTCACACAGACCAGCAATGGGAAATCAGATTGCTCTTCCACCTGAAGAAAGGTCCTATCCAACGCCTACTTTACAAATGAAAGGCCCACCAAGATTCTTGAACGTTTAAGCATGGAAAAGTCTGAGTTTGAATTCATGCATGTTTAATACCAGATACATTCCCTTGCTTTCCGTGGAGCACGTCACCTCAGATACACTTCTGCCTTTGCTGGCTGTCCTCTCCTGCCCTTTGAGATAGCAGATGTACTGCTCTTTCCTCTTTCTTTTTGAAAGGGAGAATCCAAAATGTTTCACTGCATGTTTCCAAGGGAAAGTGAATCTAGATTTAACATTTACAAGATCTCACAGTCCCTGTTGGATTTCCTTTCTTTTTGTAAAGCAGTTCAACCGACATCCAACTTGTTGAGCATGGCAGGATGCAGGATAAAAGGTCAGTGCATATAGCACTGAATCCAGTAGGTCAGGAAGCAGGGAGAAGCTGCTGTGTAGTGATACGTCTAATCAGATTTGTATCAAAAAACAGCTCAATCAAGAACAAATAGAATATTGTTCTTAGCGAGATTTATTAGAAGCTGGGATTTCTGAAGTCTGTACAGATCATTCCATGCTAACCGGAGTAAACTGATTTGCTCCTACTTTAACAATTTACCCTTCTGTAGAGGTAATAATTTATGCCAGCAAGAGTAGAAAGGAATGTTCTATTCAAGTGAACTACATTAATTAAATATGTACATTTTGTATGTCAAACACAAAAAAAAGGCACCTTGGAACCAAAAATTGACATCGTTGATCTACTTTTCAGTGTATTTCTATGGAAAGATTTTTATTTAAAATTGTTTTCCCCAATGAACTAAGGCTCATGCTATTGAAAAATCAAATTGAATACATCCTCAGTCCAGTGACTGTTCGGAATGAGTGAAGACTGTAAGATTTCTTTTGGGTGAAGCATAGTTATTACTCCTCACCAATATTTTCTCTCTCTTTTCTGATGAATCAGTCGGAATTAATGATCTCCAAAAGGATGCATTTCACATCACTGTGACAACAACTGCAACATCTGAAAAACAGCCAGGATTTCTCTCAGTCAGCAAGTTGGGCTTGAAATGGGCCATGATGACGCAGGGTCGAATGGTGTGGCTAAAGGACACCACCACTCCCAAAATCAGCCGTGGAGAAGTGAGGCGATTTCTTGCTCGGCTGAAATTTGTTGACTTTCCTCACAAGGTGAGATTGTGCAGGAATCTGTGATCAGTGCAGATTGTTCAGGATATATGATTGCTTCCGTACTGACACAGTTAGGTGCTTTCTATGAGGTGGGATTCAAATTGACTGCAAGATGACAGGCTGTCTCTTTAGGTGGAGACTGGACACAGTGTAAGGCCCAGCTATACTTTAGCAGTTTGACAAGAAGGAGGATCTTAGAAAGAATCAGGGGTGACAATCATAAAGGACTGAGGGACTCACAGACAGAACTGAGAGGTAGGGCAGTGGTCACTTGTTCTAACATGGCCAAACAGGGGTCCCCTATGCACCCTCTACCTAGTGGTGCCTAGTGTTGCTGATCAGTAAATTAACACTTTTCTGTACTGGACTGAATGATAATGGATTCTGGCTTTGTTTTTCGTTTCCCTTTCCTTTTCCAGCTCTAGCCTGAGATTTTGACAGGACCTATGACCTGCATGGGGAATAGAGGAAGCTGCTCAGGGGACCTTCAGGAAAACTGCTGTGTAGAGGGAGTGGGAACTAAAGGCACTTCCCCTTTCTTCAGCTATCTGGGGAATATTGCTGGAAGCTGGTTTGTCCTTGGCAGATCTGTCCTGTATCAGATGAACCTTGTTCAGCATCTCCCCATCCATATGCTGTTCTTGCATGCTTCCTTCCAGGTAACATGGAAATGTGAATTTAGAGCTTGCGTGCACACGCACACACACACACACGAGTTATATATATGTATCAATTTATAGAGTATATGTATATTTTTTATATGTTTAATTTATGAACAGATTTAGGACACTCCTTTTTATGTCCAAACAGTATTCCAGGCAGACAAACAAGCTCAAAGCCTATGGTGGTCTATGATAACTACAGGCAAATTATGTGGGTAAAGAACACCATCTGCTTTAATCTTCATATTTTTGGAAAGTAGCCTCTGTCTGGCTTCTGCAGGGCAAGTCTTGTCTACGGCCTTTCTTATTCTCTCAGCCCTTTTCACCATCCTGTTGCCAAACTCACAAACAAATTGGCTCTCTTGCTGAATTACCTGATAGAAAGATGGCTGCAAGAACGTTTTTGAGCATTTGCACTTGCGTGTTTCTTTTCCCGGATCCAAGAAGCAAAAGCTTCACATTTCATTTCTACCTCTTATTCATCCATCCTTAAGCTCTGTATAAACCTGAAGTGTCATTGTTGCACCATGTTGCAGTTCGTTGGACTGAGTTCCCCTTTGAAAAGCATTGCAGCCCCTTTGGGGGAGGCTGTCAGCAGGTCCCTAGTGGCACTGTAAAGATCGCTGGACTATAGATACACTTATAGAAAAGCTTATTCTCACACAACTGCTTCAGGGTTTAGGGGCTCAGACAAGAGGTAGAGATGGAAGCTTTTCTGTGCATGTGACCCTGTTCTGGTTTTGACCGTTGGCCTGCCAGCCCAGCAGTTCCAGGAGGAATAGGCTGCCCCCAAGGCAAATTTATTTGCTCTTGGTGCATTTAGTTCCTTGAATCATGCCTGTGAGCGTGCTGTCAGACTCGTGTGTTGTAGTTGCAGAGCATGAAGTTGCCTGCAATAAAGTAACTATATATAAACCAACAACTTTTCTGCCCTAGCAACTCCTCACAATTCAGGGCAGCAACATGTTACTTGTTTTCCCAGATCTGACCTTCGGCATTATGCAGAGCCAGGCTGAGGTGAGAATTGCAGATGTCTCTTTGGTCCTCCTGCTAATATGTGCTCTTCCTGTTTTGCTGCATTTCCCTCCGAGTAGCAAGGTGATGGCAGCATTTTGATGCTTACATCAAGGATGGACACATGGGTTTGCTCCCCTGGGCTCTTGACACCTCGTCTTGCTACATCACCCTTTCTTCTTCCTCCTTGCATCTCCATATAAAGCTTCCAGGACAGCTTTCAGTGTAGCTCTTCAGGATTAGCTGCAAGCCCCAAAGCTGGCCTTTGGACCCTTCTCTCCTAATATCAGAGCTGGGAACAGTTTGTATATGTTTAATGGTATTTTTGTGTAAATAGCTTTGTATATATTAGCACGACTCTATATATTAGCAACAACTCTAGGCCCTGGGATTTTCCTCCAGACGCGTTAGTATTTATAATATTATGTTAGTTAATACAGCTGTATAATAGGAACTGAAAGTGTGAGGACCAGTAATATAAGAAGATTAAACAGGAGTGCACCTTTCCTCCTGTAGCCACCACCTTGCTGGGAAAGGTGAGGCATTTATTACCTAAAGTAGTTATTCTCCTGAGGTTCTTCCTGAGAGAACTAATATTTGAGTGCAGTGACATTAGCTCCTCCATAATGTGAATTCATTCCACCCGCACACACACGCCCCCAGTGTGAATAAAGAGTCTGTCTGTATATTGTTGAGAAAATGTATTTGAACTGTGAACTGCAGTGGAGCAAATAAATACTGTGTACAGCATCAGTGTGTGTCATGTGAACCACCATTTCACCTTTGAGGGATGACGAGTTTGCTTGATTTGGGGACTGTTGGTGGTATTTTTACACTAAGGGAAAAGGGACAAGTGAAGAGAAACAAAAAAGCAGGAGTTCAGCCTAGGATTCTTAAAGGATGTGGAGGAGCACAATAATAAGAGTCAGACCGGAAAGTATCTCAGAATGGGAGCTGGAGGGGGCAAAGCAAGGAGGGTGCATATAGGAGCCTTTACAGACAAGAGAGAGGGGAGGAGATATTTGAAAGCAACCTCCCATTTCTACTCCAGCAGCACTTTTAATCTGTGGGTGGGACAAGAGACTGGGCCTACAAATGAAAAATAAATACGGTCTTCAGGGAGGACTACAACAACTCAGTATGAGCACCTATGCCCTTAGCGCTGAACTAAAGAGATTGCTGGAATGGCAATATGACTCCACCCAAAGAGGCCCAGCAATGCAATTTGCCAGCTGGGTTGGGCTGAGTCTATCTTTCCCTTAGTGCAGTGCTGTTGGGATTAGGGTACCTGCCTCAGTTCTGTCTAACAGTGATTGGATACAGATGGCACCAATGATATTTACCCCCAGTTTCGTCGTTCCCAGCTGAAGACACCCTTCAGGTTGTGATCAGAGAGGACCTGCCTTGCCTCCTCTTGGCACTGCTGTTGCCTTGTTCCAGTGCCTGATTTTCTTATTCTCACTCCCTGAACATTAGAGAAAGGAAGAGCTCCCCAAGAACTTGCTAACAGTAGTGTTAATGTTTGGTTCAGAGCTTTTTGCATCCCAAACCCCACTGTTCAGCTCCTGTGCATTCATCTCTAACACTGATCTTCTCCAATTGTCTGTCCCAAGACCTCATCCAGGTCCAGCTCTGGTTCCCGCTGCAGCACTTTCTTCTGCAGCTCAGTGTAGAAATCAACTCCCTCGGACACTGAATGGAGAGGCTTGTCTCGAGACTCATAGTAGCTGCTTATTTGCTGCTGTATGAAGTACTGGTGGTGCTGAGGCTGATCCTTGAAGCTCATATCATAGCCCTTGATGTGGTTGCGCTTGAACTCCAGCACTGTCTTGGTGTAGGTGTTGAGAGTGGTGACAGCAGAAGCCATGCAACAGGTGAAGGAGGTCCAGGCCATGCTGCAGGAGAAAAACAAGAACAACACATGCCATGAAAAGCCAGGCAAAGAATTGAACTGTATGCACCGTGGTGCACTGGTTTGGCAGGTAGAAGCTGCTGAACATGAACACAAGCTACAGAAAGACGAGATGAGAGATGTCAGACTAATAAATAACTTCACCAAAATATTTTTCAAGTCATCTATTTTCTATCAGCTGGGGTTAGCTTCTGCAGCCTTTGGAGAAAGAAATCCTGAGCCACATGTCTAGTCTTGATGCTACAGTTACAGACCTTTTGGACTTTGCTCAGTGAAGATGTCAAACCAACATGCAATTTTATTTAAACTGCAGAAAAGCAAGGCGTTTTTGAGAGCAACATCACAGGTGTGGCAGTGGCCTCTGCACACAGGGAAGAACTGAGACTAAATAGGGCAAACAAGCATAGAGGCAAGTCTGATTAGTCAGCAGGTGAGAAGGCACTTGTTTAGGTGTGTCTCCATTGTTTTACCAGTTCTTGGTACCTACTCACTTAAGTAACTTGGCAACTATTTGTTAAAGCAGGGGATCAGGAGATTGAACACTAGGAGAACCATGTCTTTGGAAACACAAAGGGTCAAGAAGGGAGGAGGGTTTGGACAAGGTGTAGCATGTCTGAAGACCCACAGCCCAGGGAAGTGAGGGTGGCTGCAAAGCTCACATACTAGAAAGCCCAGCCGTAGTCCCATGTGTGCGGCCTCCAGTCCTCTGGTCCCAGATTAACTGTGGCTTGGAAGACTTGGCTGTACATCATGTGCGCCACCATCCCAAGGAGACCTGGTAAAGAAGACAAAAAAAAAAAAACCACCAAGGAAGATATAGCAGGAGCCAGAGCTGCATGCTTCAGCCTTGTGTGGGAGAGGAGGCTTTCCTATTGCTGTGCAAGGCCAGCAGCTGCTCTACCACCTCTCCAGGGTTGCTTCTACACCACTGTCTCCTTGCAATTCCCATTAACTGTGTTTCTTTTTAGACACTTTTTAGGGGCTTTTTACTGCTCCTTTCACTCTGATTCTCATCAACAGAGGTGAGTGAATGAGAAAGGCTGTCAGTGTATTTTTATTTCTGCCCACATGTGCCTGTCTTGCTGCCAGGTTCCACAGTAACACACTTACCTGACAGCACTGAGGAGACAGCAGCAAAGGCATTGAGCTTCAGTCCGCAGACAGGATTGCCAGTGTGCAGCATTTCCACCATCAGGAGGATGAAGCTGATGAGCAAGAGGCTGATGTACAGCATCTCTGACCCCAGTGACAGCCACAGGATTCCTGCCAGGAATCAGAAACCCCTCACATCAGTACCAAATGGCTTCTTCAAGGGAGAATACTCCTTCTTCCCAACCTAATCCTGAAAGGAAGTCTGTTGGAGAGAAGAGAGGTGGGGAAAATAACCAGCCCCCAGCCTATCAGCAAGGATGCTGAGAGGCACAGAGTGTCACGAAAGATAGCTTGGCTGATCTTGCAAAAGCTGAGAGGACCTAAAACAGCTGCCTTATATAAGCCAGTGATATTCATAAGCAGCAAGGTAAAGCCATGGGGGATATCTTGCTTGAGCAGTTACATTCACCACTCACTCTGCTGCTTGCATGGAGAGTGGGCACATTCATGCAGGGTTTATCAGTGGGACTTGAGTCATACCACAGCTCTCAGCCCAGCTCATTGTGTGGCAGGGATAGAGGAGAATGAGAAAAGACATTCGGTAATGCTGGGCTCTGGAAGAGCACACGATTCACTAAAGAAGAAATATTAATCTGACAAATGAAGCAGCACTGGGAGCACTACTGTTAGCGATTGCTAATGGCCCTTGAGGAGTCATTCCACTGGGGAAAAGGAACATGAAGGAAACCTTCATTACTGTGGCACTTAACTCAGCTCCTCTCTTCTCCTCAAACATCATTATTCCCATTGAGTCACCCAGCTCTTTAGCAGGAATTAATGAGTTGCATTCCCTGCACAGAGGAGCTGGTTTGCTTGCTGCAGCAAGATCACAGACTGTTTCTTTAGAGGTCAGACTGCCAAGAGTGTCCTGGAGGCCACAGGCACCAGCAGTGCTCAGAAGCCTCTGGATTGCTTTTCCTGTGAAAGCAGACTGGTCTCACTGCACATGCTGGTGGCTGCTCTGGAGGCCTACGTCATCTTACAGTGGTACTGTGAGCAGGAAGGGGTGAAAGCAGGTGATTGAGCTGTGATACTGTGAATGCCATGCTCATACTGATACTCCAATTAATCTGTAAGACCTCAGCGTCTTACAGAACAGAGGCTTTCTTTCAGATTTGGGTTGAAATTAACTAAGAAGCTGTAGGAGGAGTGTGAGGAGGGATAGACATATTTACAAAGATGTATTCTGGTTGCATGAGTCTATTTTCTCAGGCTTGGGAAAGACATTGGAACCAATAGAACCAGAAGCCCTGACTGGGAATGGAGCACAAGAAGGTGAGGAAGCAAAAAAAAGGAATTACTGCTTCCTGTGAAAGGAGCATATTGTGGTAAATGTAAGAGCAATTCCTTTTGCGGGGAAGTCATTCGCTTATGACAAAATGGAGATCCATGTGATTTCAAAATGGTCTTGTAACATCAGCATCATTTGATTTGTGTAAATGCTCTTTCCAGAAAGAATAAACATGAGAAGTTAATGTGCACAGTGCAACACTGGTACTGGACCCTGCATCTATAAGCCACGAGACAGAGAAGCAAGACAGAGAAAGAAGGTGTGCTCCACTAAAACACTCATTTCCCTTCTGGCTGCTGTAGTTGCCCAGTGTGTGTTCCAGCCCATCCAGGTTTACTGACATTATCCCCAGGATAATTTGAACCGTGTGACAGGAACAGTCAGCTCTCCAGCCCAGATTTGATATTTGATGAGGCAGGATTTCATTCAAAGTGTGCCTTTTGGATGTCCTGATTGCTTAGTACAAGGAAGTGACTGGGCTCCCAGAGGCATCCATCAGAACTCAAGACTGCAGCACTGAGTGAACATCCAGTGCAAGGGAAGGAATGCCCTTGGGTGATGTCCGTCCCCTCCCTGTTGACTACATGAGATGACAAGCTTGAACTTGATGACTTACTAAAAAAGACGAACCCCACTTCATGTGGGAGGAGGCCTGGGGTTTCTGTTGCTGACCTCACAGATGACAGGAGTTTGGGCAAACATCTGGGAGGAAATCTTTCTATTTTTAGCATCCACGAGGCCTGAGTATTTGGGGACCCACCTCACTGTCCTCACGCAGGAGAAATGTTGCAGGTCCCTTGTCCCAAGGAGGTGCACTGGATAGCTACGGTGAGATATGGGGATTTGCTCTTACCTCTCTCTGCTGGTGGAGAAAGCTCAATAAAGCTACGGCATTTCTCCTCTGAAACACAAAAAACAAGGATATCAGCTTGTAAAACAGTGTAGGATAAAGTAAAAGAATACCTCTCCCTCTCTCTTCATTGCACAGCAACAGTCATTTGAATCTACCTGCCAGATCTTCTCACTTTTGACCTCTTTCTGACCATCCTTCCATACTCTCATGGGGCATGGTAGGAGAAGGCAATCTCTGGGTAAAACTAGGGGTGGCCCTTCTAAAAAAAAAAAAAAAAAATCAGCAATTTTTAAATGTTGTCAGTCTTTGGTGAATATATAAATCTGCTGCTACTTCTTCACCACTTTATTACCAGTCTCTGAGGGCTGTTCCTCAGGACAATTGAAATGTAACTTACAACACACCACAGACCCACCTCTTCTGAGGACACATATTCCCACTCACCTCAGGCAAATCAGTTATTGATTTCCCAAGAAGAAAGCAAAAAAATTCTCTTCCCATATATTTCATGTTAGAGATATGAGATCCTCTTCTGAGACAAAGAATTGCACAGAAAGTAAGCCTTCTGTCCTCCCAGTTTAGGCATATCATTTGGGCAAATGTTGTTTGTTTTTGCTTTGCTTTTTTTTATAGAGGCCAGATACAAACTATTAACAAAGGGTCCACCATTATTATCTTTAAGTCTTTCTTAGCTGTGTACTGCGCCACTGCATTTGAGGGTCCTGTCCTCTATTTGGCATGGTACTTTCTCCCAAGAATACAAGCCTGCAGTTTTTCATGTAAGAATCTCATTTTCTTAATTTCTATCCCCAGTTCTAATCTCTCCCAATCCCCTGTATTACTTCTATCATCTGTGGCTCTCAGGATGCTACCCAGTTTAGTGCCATCTGCAGTCTTCATTAACTTGCCGCTTGCTGCTTCACCTAGAACTTTAAAGAGGTTATTCAGTAATGGCTCATCTAAAGCTGATCCTGAGATTAGCCTGAATAATGAAATCCTTTCTCCAGCTCAATTCAATTCAAACTCCTGTTGCTGATCAACGTCTTCTTTTTTTCTTTTTTCTTTTCTTTTTTTTTTCTTTTTTTTTAAAGTTTTTGTTCTCTCTGCGCTTGCTTCAGAGACCCTCAGCAGTGGGTAGATAGTACTCACTTTATAGGAAGCAGGGGACTGAGGCTGACTATGACTACCCCATGCTCTGGTGCAATCCAGATGTAACATGCTCTCAGCATTCCTTCAAGCATCGGGGTTATTCCAGGACTGCCTGGTGGCCAGACAATTCTTTCAGAGAAAGCTGTCAAATTACGTATTCCCACTCCCACAAGCACCATGGAAACACACTTCAGACCAAATCAGCCCCAAATAAACACATATCTTTCCACAGTATATCTGGAAAAGCTCGTAATAAAGCAATCCCCTCATTAGGACATGAGATTTTCAAGCATGTTCCTGCTTCCACCTCTCTTCTGTCTTTTGTTCGCCTTTATGTATGTATGTATCTGTGCATGTATTTATTCATTTAATTAATTTTCAGAGTCTTACAGCAACAGATAAGAAAATGTGCAATGCTGTACTAGAATGGTCAGTCAGTTAGAGAAGGAGGATAGACAGGATGACCTTTAAGGGTTCCTTCCAAATCAAACAGCTCTATGATTCTATTTGTGTTGGGTAGACCTGAAGAGCAGGGCAGTGGCTCAGTGGAAAGGGCCTGATGTGACTTTCATCACTGCATCTTTAGCTACACATCTCTCTGATGGCCACCTTCTGGGTCAGTTCTGATCCCTGATGTATGTGCCAGGATGTAAAGTGCATTTGTGCACTGTGGAGCATCCACCTGTTCTGATGTGGCACCAATTCCTGTGGAAGGACTGCAGCAGGACTGGGCAAGAGCAAATTCAGGGCAAAAAATACATGGGATCTAATACAGGCTGCGTGACCAGCCTCTGTCTCTCTGGAGTTTGCAGTGCCAGTTTACACTCAAAAATCACAAGTCAGACCTGTCACAATATCACAGAAATTACTAAAAATTAAAATGCTGTGTCTCTAATCCTCAGGTCAATTTGCCTCCTACCTTTGATTTCTCTCTGGTCATATTCTCAAGCTTTTCTCTGCATCTGTAATGCAGGACTTCTCTTTCTCTCCTTACTGCTTTTTGTTTGTTTGATAAAAGCCCAATCCCTATTCATTTCATACATCTCCTCAGTTTGGTGATTTAAGGAGAATGTCAACAAATGTAATCCTCACAGTTGTTAACTAGAAGTTGACAACACCAAATAAAATCCCTGTTTCAATTTCACAGGGGATCTGCACAGATGTGCCCTGTAGAGCATGAAGTGAACTATGTGTAGGAATGGAGCTCAGGGGAAGGGAAAGAAGGGCCACTCCAGTGCCCACCAGGATGGTACAACCACAAAGTCACTGTCACCATCACCTGCACTCCACAGCTCCTGTTCCAGACAGAAGGGCATGCCAGAGACAGGCATTCTGCCTTGCTACCATCTGTAAACATCTCTGTGAAGGACAGAAGTACAAAGACAGTGCACAGGGTTGGTGCCATCAGGGAAAACGAAGAAGGCTTTTCTCTCAAGTGCTCTTGGCCTCCACCTGTCAATTCTGAACTCCTGTGGAGTGAAAGCAAGGGAAAAAGCTGTGGCCATCTGGGCAAGACGCTACCTGGCCCTTCCATGCTCTCTTCACAGGAAAGCCACATCCCTGTGTGGAAGTATCTGAAGGAAAAGCGGTCATCCCCGGTCTCCCAGCTGTAATGGACCTCCTCCTGAGCTGAAGCATTGCTAGCAGCTGCATCAGGCGTCATGGGGACACCGATGCACTTGGAGTCTTTGCTCTTCCCACACAAAGGCTTGGGCACTTTCTGGGTCCCGGTGCACCAGTAGCTGCTGAGCAAGGCAGTGGTGGAAAGGCTGAGTGCCAGCAGGTTCAGGATAACTGCCAGGAAAGCACGGCGCCACGGCAACATCTTCAGCAGCTCCATCTACAACACAGAAACAGGGACTGTCAGACCAGCCATCTAATGTCACAAACCCTAGCTTTTCCAGGGGAAACACATGGGGAAGGGATATGCATAGGAGAAGCAGTCTGTGCTCCTCACAACATTCCAGCAAAGAAGGACCCTTCTCCTAAAAGCCAGAGCAGTGGAGAGATAGCTCAGTTTCAACCATTTCAAAATATGCTGAGGTGTGTACTGGGGAAGAGACGGTGACCCTGCAGAACTACTGAGACTGAATGCACTGGTATGTGTGTGCGTATGCAGAAAATGAGAGAAGTGATTGTTATTTCCATCTCAAAGACAGTAGATAAGAGCTGTTAACCAACTTCCCCCAAATGCCGCTACATCAAACTACTCAAACATGACGAATACTTTGTTCAGCTAAACGAGAATTCTTTCTGTCACGTACCCCAAAACGCTTCTTCAAGCACCGTTAATTCCTTTACCTAGAGAAGCAGATAGGATACTGATTTCAGAGAGGGGAAAGACAGGGAAATGTTCTCAGATCACACTCAAAACAGTGGCCTGCCCCAGGAGGACACCCAGCTACCCACACCCAGCAGTTTGAGTTCAAACTCAGAGCAGTAATTCCCACTTGAGCAAGCACTGCTCTGCACATCATAAATTTGGTAGAATGGTTGGATAACAGTGTCTGTGCTCTCATACAAAGTGCCAAAAGGGTGGGTTTTTTTGTTTTAAGAATAAATGGTGTCACAAACATTATTCCCAGTTTTAGCTCATCGCAGTAAGTAATTCTGAAAGCAGTTTGTGTACCAGGGTCCTGTGGTCTTTCTCTCTCAGAGAGAAGCTTAAGATTTTGAGGTTCCTTCAAAACCGTGCACTGACTTCTGAGTACCCATCTTATCACTCCACAGATTGATTAGATGTCATCTACCCACATATCAACTTTCATGTAATCAACGCATGCCTCTTCCCACATGGCACACCCTATGTTTGGCACAACTTTATCCAGATACTCCCACCCTTTCCTATTTATGACTCTCAAAATATATTTGACCACGAATAGATTCAGTTTGTACAGACACTGCCTGCTGCTGGCCTCTTCACACAACTTCTGTTGACTCACCCAACGCTGAAGGTGTGTGAAAGGCCCAGCATACTGTGGACAATACTATGAAAATATAGAAATAAACAATCAAGTTGTTTGTGACAGACTTACAGGAATACAGATGAAAGCAATGCAGTTAGTTAGAAGCACTTTTTTCTGCTAACCAGCAAGCTCAGAAATGCGGCTAACAGAGATGCTGCTGAAACACTGCTTGGAAGGCAAGATTTGATTAGCATCTCATCACTTAGAAAACAGCGCCTGATCCAGAACATCTTCATCAAAGGCAAAAAAATACTCAGTTCATTAGAAATTCCTGTACTGCCTTATGTTCTGGCATCTTTTGCTTCCTTCAGAGCACTTATTTCAGCAAATGAGATGCTGCACCCCAGAGATACCATTTATCTCTATCTTAGTGGCATGGTAACTAAAGAGTTCACTGATCTGGAGGCATATTGATGATCTGGAAGCATATTGGATACCACCAACCTTCAGAGTGGTTTGTCGGTTGTTCACTCATTCTTGGTTATACTTTCCTTCACCAGGTTTCAGTTTGCTCACACTTTTATTGAAAATAATTTTTCCACTCACAATGTTGACCAAAAAAAAAACCAAAAACAAACCAAAACAACAAACAAACAAAAAAAACACCTAACATTTTTTTTTTCTAATTTAAATCCTCAGTAGTAGGAGAAATACTCTCTCCAGTTGATTTGTTACAGCTGGTCAAAGGCCATATTATTTCAGAACCAGTGACAAGGAAAAAAAAAAAAAAAAAAAAAGAAGAGAAATGAAATGATTCATAAGCAGGAACTCAACCAGTGATGCCAAGACTGTAGGGGATAAGAAGCAAATCTGAACAACATCTTCATGAGAACATTTTCAGAAATGTTTCCCTCCATAAAAGCCGTACACTGACAGCAGCTGACCACAGTACCTAGATAACCCCCCAAAGGAAAGAAATTTCAATTTACCTTACTAGCAAGTCTTGAAGTCCTGTTAATTTGGAGGAGTAATACAGAAATAGAACTCACAATTTGCCTTCGGTTTTACTTGTCTCTAAATTTCCCAAGAAACCAAACTGCTTCAATCCTCCTTTCTCCTTCGTCTCCTCCTCTCTTCCCTTGCCCACTCCCTCCCCATGATTATTAAACGCTATCCCTCCATCCAGCAGCTGGTTTGTAGAAAATGGTCATTTTATAATCCACAATGCAATCACAGCACAGCTGTTCTGGGAGATTATATGGGAAATGCTTGGTGCTGCGGACTGGGATTAAACGCAGCATTCACAGAGTAAAAAGTTTCAGTGAAGCACAGAAGGATTCCAAGCCATCTCTGGGCAGTGGCTGTTTGGGAACTTGAATGGAATGAGATGGCAGTTCTCTGACTGGTGCTGCAGGGGATAATGACCTTAGCTCAGAAACTACCAGCACTCTGGGCACCAATTAGCCCCTTCCTCTGTGCACATAGCCTCAGCAGGTGACAAGGACCCAAAGTTCCCATCTTTGGGATGTCTTTCTGGCCAGATTCCAATCACAGAAAGGGGAAAAATAAAAAATGGGGCTAGGATAGCCTATGTGGCTGAATTTGCTCTGAGTACTGTGCATTCCAGACTCTAAATATATGTTGCTCCAGCTCTCCCCACGGGCAATAGGAGTTGTAATGAAAAAAAGGAGTCCCTTAGCAGAACAAGTGCTGAGTGACAGACAGGCTCTGCGAAGCAGCGGTGAGTCTAACAAGTGCAGTACTCAAAGGGTGGTGTCCCGCATATTGGCAGCTTTACCAAGGCATGAATTTCACCAGGAATTCCAGCTCCCAGCAGCTTCACATCAGATGAATTTGGAAAGCTAGAAAGAAACAGAAAGATTCACACTCACCCAAAGTCCCCTCTGAGCTCCTGCCCTGAAACCTTAAAGGCCCTGTGATACTTAGTTACAGATTGTTTGGCAGCAGAACAGCAGCAATGCATCACCTCTCATGAGAAGGAGCAGTCGCTAGAGGGCTCAGAGCAGCTCCACGTGGAATAAAAGTGTGAGAGAGCGGTGCTGCTCCCACCCCATGCTTCCATCATGAGACGCAGGTGCACCAATAGCTCTGGGGACTGCACAGCCCAGGGGTTCAGGAGCCTGCCTAAGAGGCAGCACTGTTACAGAGTGCTGACCCTCCATGCCTCCAGCATTACAGTTGATGGCTGCAGTTATTTTCATCCCAGCCACTGCCTAAGCTCCTCTAATATAGATAATCATCACTAAGATGGGCTAACTGAAGGCAATGCTGAAAGTTCCTGTGCTTCACAATCTGTCTGGGGGCTTTTTGATTAAAAGCAAGGCTCTGTTTGACACAGATGTTCTTAATTTGCTGAAGGAGCTGATGCTTAAAAGAAGAGCAGTAGTATTCATTCATTGTTTAGTCTCTACATCTGAAGACCTTAAATTTGACTTCTTAATGCTCAGTTTAAACAAAACAAAACAAAAAGCCCAACTGGTTTTCAAGCCCAATAATAAATCAAATTCATTTCATTACGAATAATCCCTAATATTCATAAGGTTCTAATTTTAAGCACGAGTTCTCATTAAACCCCAGGATGCTATGTCAGCTCCTAAAGCTAGGATCATGGAGCATATATTAATGAAATGTGACTGAATTTAGATTTATGGACATGGGCTCAGGTTTAAAAATAAATTTATCACATATATGCTATGGCTTTAAAAATATGCCAGATTTAGAATCCTGAATAATGGCAGATATTTATCCTTCCAGAAGATGGCAATCTTTCTCTAGTCTTTTTTTTTCAGGAGTCTGCTATTCCTGTGTGAGCCTGGGGGAAGGAAGCAAAATCCAAGTTTGGACTTCTGTCCCTTCTGTTTTTGCAGGCTTCCCCCCTCCCCCCTCCCCTTCTTTTTCCTCTTTTTTTTTCCCCCTCATTGGTATAAACACACTCTCTTTCCTTCCCTTGGGGATGTTGGGCAGTGGATCCTCGTCTTTCAGTTGTCTGAGCCTGAGAGACTTTTGAAATCAATGGGGAAATATGTGAAATGGATGCAGAAGCCCACAGGTCATTTGCTCCCTCTTCTGTCCTGCAGAAAGTTATTCTTTTTAATACTTTTTGCAGCATTTTATCAAGTAACATATTAACTTTTTCAGAGTGTTTCCATGCCCAGATTACTGTGCACAGCTCATAGAACACCAACACAAGAGCGTGTTTCCTGACATTAGACAAATTTCCCTTAGTAAAATATTCTTTCTTCTAAAATCTCCATTCCAGCTTTGCCTAAATCTAATGAATTACGGACAGGAAAACATTGTTCTATCCATCTCTCCCCCTGCTGTGCCTTCCAGTTTTCTCATCTTTGCATCTCGTGTTTCCCACCATAGTTTGGCTTTGCTACAGGTTTGAGATGTCTCTTTCTTTTTGAACTCAGTAGTAGCCAGTCCCTGGTGACTTGTTTCAAGTTTGCCCATTGAAGTGAATACCCACAGCAGTTGGTTTCCTGTGCAATCAGCCAAGCATTTGGCTTACAGAAACAAAACAAGGGAACAAAACACACAACACAATCTCAGCAGAACACCTCTGTAGGGACTGCCAAATCTACAAAAGCCTGGGGATTTAGAAGAGGTGCATTTTCATCCCAGCTGTATCACACACACTTAGGGTGTACCCTGCCCAAAAGTGACACCCTTAACTCCCCAGGGTTATTGGTGATAAAGAAGGGCAACAAACCCTTACCAGACAGGGCCCAGTAATTACAATACTTAGCTGGCAGATCCCAAGAGGCACACAGCTCTTCATAGCACTTTACTCGGCTCTGCATCCCAGGTGTACCAGGGACCATACACTCTCCAGACGTCAGTCCTTCAGCCATCCTGAAGAGAAAGAGAGGAGAAAAATGGCTATTTACACCCATAAAGTCACCCTGTGGAACCTGGACAAAGGCACACTCATACTCACCCCTCATTCCGCACATTCTTCACACATGACACTTCCGTGTACCGTTCACCCTCTGCTCCTGTTTGTGCTGTTTTTGCAGGAAGACGTCCAACGCTGCTGTCCCCTCCCTCACTGCCATGCAGCCAGCAGGATGTGTCTGGGCGGCAGTGACACCGAGCGAGCCAGACTTCTTAAAGCCAGTGACAGACTGCAAATGCCAGATTTCTGCCTGAGCTCCGAATAATTCCACTCAGATTGTAACCTTTATTTAGCTGTTTGTATGATGCATTAACTCTTGCTCTGCGAATGACCTCACCAGGCACTTTTTTAGTCAAAGCACATTTAAAGGTGAATTCTGTTTTTAAACATGAACAGCTTACGTTGCTAGACAGCACGTCTGTGGCATAACAGGCATAAAGATTGAGCTGGAACAAGCATAAAAATGAACATAGAACCTTGCCATTAATTTGAACAGAACTTTACATTTTTTTTCCCTAAGCAAGTCTTAGTTAATTTTTTTCTGTTTTACCTTGATTTTTTGAAACATTCAAAACCACATGGAAATGAAATCAAAAAAGTGTATCAACACAGACTTTGAGGATTCACTTGAAGATTCTAGATGCATCCATTTCTAGATATGCAATATAAGACTACCTGACAGAGGGATACTTTTCAAAGAATGCTAAAACTTGCACAATTCTGACATATTTAGCTGAGAACATAGCGGGAAAAAAGCAAAAGCAAAAAAAAAAAAAAAAAACCCAAAACCTTTTTATCAAATTTAGCCAACCGCAAACTAGAAGAAGACAAGCAGAAGACAATATCTTATATGTATCTATAAGGATATGAAATTGGATCTAGTCCAGGAAAACAAGACATCTAAACCACCAAGTAGGTAACAGCTCACCTTATTCATCCATCACTATCGCCATCAGCTCTTCTGAGAAACCCAGTGAAGTACAAAATGAGCATGGACTCACCTCACTTCTTTTTTTCTTTTTGACTGTCAAGACATTCTGTGAGATCTTACCAGATGCTTTGAAATGCTGCGAGTTTGTAGTTTCACTGGCCTTCTGAGCTTGCTATTTCATCACAGTACTTTATATCAGTGTCAGAATCAGTGTCCACTTCTGCAGAGTACGTCTTTACAATTTGGTAATCCCCTTTATGATTTTTTTTTTTCTTCCAGTTTTAAATCTACCGGTTATGGGATCTCAGTCTGCTCCTGCAAAGAATCAGAAACACCCAGACTCAACAGCTGTCACAGGCTCATGGCTTTTTGTCCCTCATCAAGAGGGACTGGTACAACACCACAGTCTGATCTCTTGTGCAACAGAAAGCAAAGAATTCAATCATTTCTAGGGAAAAACAGAGCTCCTGCTGGAGCTATAGCACATATTTTATACAGCTAAGTAGTATTGACTATGCAACAGGATATGATGGAAAACCCATTACATTCTCAGAAAAGTTGTTCCAATGGTTAGTTAGCCTCATTCTTAAAACTTTGTTCTTGATTTGTAATCAGCGCGTGTCTGCTTCAGTTTTCCCACCTCATCAGTCTGTTCCAAGACGCAAATAAATAGCCAGTGAAATGATTTCCTAAAAATGCTATTGTAGGAGTCACAAATCAATGCATTTCATTAGAGGCACACAGTGTGATCTAATGAGCTGGCTGGCAGCCAAAATTCCTGGTTCTGTACTTGGCTCTGACAACACGATTTTCCCCTCTTATTGGCCAAGTCATTAGAGGTGCGTTTACACTGCAGTCAAAGCGGTGGCAGTGATGGGGAGTAAACATTTGGTGCTTGTTTTAGTTGGGTGTTGCTAACAATTTTGCTCCAGCAAAATGGAATGCAGTGCAGGATATAAACCTCAGTCCAGAAATGGAGTAAATTAAACTGTGCTGAATTCCACTTTGCAACAGATAGACTGATAGTTCAAAAATAGCTTGTTTCCCTATGCCATGAAGTTGGGCCTTCACAGTCATTCCCACGGACACACTTCTACAGCACAGCTGATTCTTGTTGATGTTGGAATCAACATAGAGCTGGTGGGAAAGAGACACTGTTTTGATAATGACAAAAGCCAAGGATCTAAAATTAGTGTGTTCAGAGAGTATGTTGCATATGCAGGTGATCTTATTGTCAAACAAACAGAAAGAAAAAAAAAAGAAAAAAAAAACATAGTTTAACCGCATTGCACTTGGATTTCATGTAAGGAAATAAGTACATCAAGACAATGTTTTTCAGCTTTGTTAAATCTTTACTGCAGTATGGTGAATCAGAATATGGAGAGGAAACCTCCAAGAATACCCAATCAATTCACCTGCACCAGCATGACCTAGACACCATGAAGACCTTCAAGGCTACTCCCGAGGTTTTTTGTAAAGTTGCTCTGAAAGTAATGTCTCCTATTTATTTCTATGGAAGCTAAAACAGATACAAAGAACACAGTAGCGCTATTTGATAGAGCAAATTATCAGCTACAAAATACTATTTTTCAACATAGTTACCATTCAGTTTGCACAGATGAACTGTTCAGGATGTTCTTCTTTCCGTGGTGTGACAGCTGTGCATGGACATCTGGAACATTGCTTGTCTTTCACATTGGTGTTGCCACTGCTGAAACGAATCACCTACCACCTCACTGCGCTCATTTCCACTGTTTGATCTCCATCAACATTCAACATGTTGACGAATGTCAATGGATGCAACTTCTTCTGCACGGAGGGACTCAAACAAGGTTCAAAAGCACTTCCATGTCAAATTCCATTTTGTCAGAATGCCCCTCTGCTGCCACCTATCTCACAGAAAAAAAATAATGAACAGAATATTGGCAGGAAGGTTCAACCTCTACTGCCATACCACCAATATCCACCTCTGATGTCACAGGCCATCATAATAAAATACTTTGGGAGAGATCCTTGTAGTACATCCTGGATTTAAATCATTCTATTCCCTTGTTATATCTTCATTTCAACCTATTCAAAATATCCATCAGAAAACTATTCTATCTCTGCTAAATGCTTAAAGTCTCAATTGCACATCTGAATTATTTACTCACACGGGTTGTCCCCTGGAGGTCATTGAAGCTCTATGGTTTACTAAAGTTATACTCACATGCTAGTAATTGAGGAACTGAAGCTTCAAAGGCAGACTCTGAGCTAGCAGAAGAGGTTTGGAAATCAAAATGAGTAAGACAGAGAGTTAGCTTTTTTGAGGTAAGGTGTGGGAGGTGTTTTTGTTCTTCAGCTATTAAAAACTCCTTCCCTTGGCATTGGGAGAAAAAAAAAAAAAAAGAGAGAGAAAAAAAAAAAAAAAGGAGAGAGAACTGGGAAAGGAAGGATTCATGAATCAGGTGGCAGCATGGGAGGAAGCACAGCCACCTGGAGGCATGAGGAGCTCCTCAGGCCAGCTTCCCCAACAGAGCAGAGCTGGTAGGAAGCATGAGTCGGAGGAGCTGAGGTCTGAGACAGTGGTCTAAAGGGAATCATAAAACCACCCTTCTTTAGAGAGCTGAGCAGAGGTTATGTTACAGAGGTTGCTTTGAAATAAACAGCGCTAAATATTGTAATTCCACATTTTATCTCTCTGGACATCATAGTAATTATCCAAGATTCAAGCCTGAGGGCATCTCTTTTTTCCCAGACTTAATGAGGATGTCAGATCCCTCTCAGTCTCTCCACGGTCCCATGCTGCCTGTGCACTGCACTGGGAACCAGGCCTGGACACAGGGCAAGGGTGCTACAAGTTTGGGGCCCCAGCCCCACACCATGGCACGCCTGAGGCAGCTGATGGTGCCATTCAAAGGCCTCTGAGAAGAAGGAGGGTTCGGTGTCCAGCACTCCCTTGCACGTGCTTCCCCAGCTGTGGTGTGGACGTCTGAGCTCTGCCACAGTCACGGGCACCCAGGCTTCCCCACACAGCTGTGGGGAAGGGAGTGCCTCGCTCAGTGGAAACAAACGAGAAGTACTTCGGCAATGGCACACAAAGAGCTTGGGCGTCTCCCTCTTTCCTTCTGTATTTCTCTCCCCTCCTCACAGCCTGATTTCTGGGTGCCTGAGTCCCCCTAGGCTGCCTGACAGGCCCGGCTGCACTGCGAGCATGGCTGCTGCCTCCTGGGCCAGGGCAGGCTGGGGTGAGGCAGCCACAGCCCTTGGCCCAAGTGTAGAGCAACCTGAGCCTTTGTCAAGTGCTGTTGTTTCCATCAGGCTTGCTGTTAGAAAAAAACCAAATAATTAACAAATGTCCTTCCCCTGTGTTTCTTCTGAGCAGGCTCAAGCTGCAATTACTCAGCAGCTTGTTATTTAGCCAGATATGAGGCGGGGATTTTGTGAAAGATGGAAAAGGATGCTTTCCTAACAGAAAGGGTGTAATTTCTTCTAAAGGAAGACAGTATTGAGAGGGGCTCTTTTTAAGTGAAAAAGTCATCTTTGTTTTTTTTTGTTTTTTTTTTTTTTTTAAAATAAGTATTCCTCTTGTTGTCAGAAACAGTTAAGTGGGTTGGAGTGAAATTAAAAACAAAAAGAACCCAATAAAATAGCCAAAACAGATGTGAGATGGTAGATGCTGGCTTCAAGTTTGGCAAAGTAAATTAAAAAAAAAAACAACAGAGCCAAACCTTATGATGAAATGTGTCAAGTGACTATAATAAAGAGGCAGTGCTACTAGCAATGTCTTGCATGCTCTATATGCCAATTCACACATTAATTTCACCATTACTTTTTCCCAGGTAGTCAGGATGATAATTGCTGAGATTTAAAGCTAAGTATTAAGTGCCACAAAATACAAATTATTTGCCAACACTTGAACAGGGTAAGCACAAAAGAAGGGTGCATTTGGGTAGTGTGCTAGTAAGGAAAGAACTTAGAGAAATTAGGTCAGGCAAAATGGAAAAAAATCTTCAGAAACCTCTTCCAAACAGAGAAATGTAGTCGTCTGTGGAACAGTCTCACATGGAAGCAGTGGATGCCCATTGCTTAAGTCATACACCAGCAGACTGGATAACACACTGGAAAATGTTCTGTAGGCAAAAATTTTGCAGAAACTGGGCTGGACAAGAATGTGAGGGGATGGATAGGATGAACTAGCAATATTTTCCCATCTGTAATTTCTATGACAGCTTTTGTGATTGACATTGCTTGAAATTCCTTTATGGGAGCTGCAGAATCTCTGAGGGAAGCAGAAGAAGAGGCTGGAGAGAGAGATGTGGGTGTGTTTCTTGGATGACACCAAAAAAGAAGCCTGCAGCCTTGCAGAGGCTGTGAAACTAGAAAGACTGGCTGCAGTGAACAGGAGGGTAAACATCTCAAAGGGGCTGTTCCCACTGGGCTGATAGCTGTGCAGACGTGCTGCTCTGGGTGAGGACTAGAGGTTAGGAGAATGGTGAAAAGGGCAGACATTTTCCTAACATTCTCAATAAAATTAAATAAATAAATAAATAAATAAAATTCCAGAATTTGCTGGTATTTTCATCTATTACAATCCATTACAGGCCTAAATGTATGGTTCACAGCTTTTCCAGAGCAGAACCACTGTTTCCCACTCTTCAAAGGTTAAAATTCACTCAAGAATTATTAAACGGAAATTAGACTATAAGAATGGCTGCAATTTCCAACAACCCTTTATAGTCACTTCTATAGCTGGCTTAACCTCAACACTGAAGACTGGGGAGAGCTCTTTTAAAATCATCGTTTGTTTGGATGAGACCTTAAAGATCATCAAGCTCCAAACCCCTGCTGTAGACAGGGCTGCCACCCACCAGATCAGGCTGCCCAGGAACCCATCCAACCTGCCCTTGAACAGCTCCCGCGATGGGGCATCCACAGCTCTCTGTGTCTGAAACTCATCACTCTCTAATTAAAGAATTTCCTCCTAACATTTAACCTAAATCTCCCTCTTTTTGTTTCAGGTCATTCCTTCTCGTTCTATTGCTATCAAACCATGTAAAAAGTCAGTCCCCCTCTGGTTCATAAATTCTCAAGCACTGGAATGCTGCAATGAGGTCTCTCCAGAGCCTTCTTTTCTCCAAACTGAACAAGCCCAATTCTCAACCTTTCTTCACAGAGAAGTGTTCCAGCCCTTTGATCATCTTTGTGGCCCTCCTCTGGACCTGCTCCAATAGCTCCACATCCCTCCTGTAGAGGAAACCACAGGCTTGGTCACAATACTCCAGGTGGTGCCTCACAAAGGCAGTGTAGAGGGGGACCATCCCGTCTCTTCTGCTGGCTGCCTCTCTTTTGAGGCAACCCAGGATACTGCTGATCTGCTGGGCTGCAAGTGGACAATGCTTGTTCATGTCCATTTTTTTGTTCTTCAGGACCCTCCAAGTCCTCCGCAGAAGGCTCAAAGCAAAAGCATAAATTTAATCTTCTAGAAGCTTTGAGATCTTTGGGGATGGAAGATCTATTGAAGTCTGCTTGTTGTTGTGAAAGAAAAATCTGAGGATCACAAATCAAATCTGATGAGGCACAATTTGTCCCAGACAGCACCAATTGATGTCTTGGGGCTGTGTGTTGGCAAACTGAGGCAGGAATGTCAGAGGAACCACACCTCCAAGCTGGCCTTCCCCACTATATTTCATAATGGGAAGATCCCTGAACTATTCCTTCTCCACCTCCTCACTCCCAGGTTTCCAGGGGCCCTGACTCAGACACTCAGTTCACTAGTGCACAGTCAAAATGTACATTCAGAGAAAGTGACATGAGTCCCGCTGAATCTCAGTCAGCTTCTTCCATCTCTTCTTGGAAAATGGTCATGGTTTGGGACATGAAGTTTCTTCTCCCTTAGAAGTTTCTCTCTCTTTTTCTAGGCCCCCAGAACTCCCCTCACTTTCAGGCTATGTGTAGTTACTGAAACTTCCCATGGAAGAAAGCAGCAGGGAGTGCAAGGAGCACAGTGTGCATCTCCTACCTTGAAGGTGGAGAGAATTAATCAAGTGCTTTTCACACAGCTCAGGACTCCTAGCAGCAATGGCTATGAACAATAAACCTTCTTCTGATCCTGAAGACTTTCTCATAGATGCTTTCCCTGTAGTTATGACACCCTTCAGGGACACAGGTGCACCTATGGGATGCTGCAGACACCTGAGCTGACCCTGTGACAGCATTTGCCTTCTGGCTCTCTCCTGTTCAGACAAAGGCCGTGGCTTCTGCTACATCCCTGTCTTTTGTGAATGACATTCAGGCTGCACTGAGGAACTCCCAAATGATGAGGAACTTAACTCTCTGAACTGTCTCCTTGGCTAATGAGCCTTGCAGATTGGAATGAACACCCTTTTTCTGCCAGCCACTGAGCTGACTTCTGCATTAGTAAACTGAGCAGTTCAAATCAAGCACCAGCATACAATTTTCTGCATAGTTAAGCTGCTAGTGTACTTCCTGGCAAGTTTTGGCTTGTGCCAGCTGGAACTCTCCTAAAAACAGCAAAGCAAAGTCTGATACCACAGACTGGGGCACCATTCCCAGCAGTGGTTGGGCTGCCTACTTTAAGGGAGAAAGACTTTAATTCAGAGGGATGTTGTGCCACTTGCCCTCAGGTTCAGAGAACTAGCCCTGGATCTATTTATTTACTAGTGTAGGTGTAACCTAGATTTCAACGAGACCTTTCTGTCAGCATTGTTTACTATTAGAAATCTCTCTCCCAAGTGAAGTATTTGTAGACTGTGATTAAGTCAATTCTCTTGTATAAACTGCTTTTGAGTCCTTTCCAGTCTTCAGCACCCTTTGAGAGCTACAAGCAGGAAAACAGAAGACATGCTTCCATTACTGCAGTGTGGTCTCACCAGCTATGTCTATACTCCTGATCCTTTCACCTTCCCTTCCCTTTTTTGAGAACAGAACCAAGACAGAGTCCTTCTGCCCTCACTTGCATACCTCATTTCCAGGGTTAGAAATCCTACAGCACAAGACATTAATCTAGTCCCTGATCTCTCAAAGAAAAAGAGTTTGCAAAATACCATGTTCACACTACTGCTGCGCAGGTTAGACAGAGAACTGAAAAAAAAACCAAGGAAAATGTCCCACTTGCTGTACTTTAGTATAAAGTTAGCTCTGCCTGTGTGATTTGTTGACTTTGCTGTTGTTCCTTTTTCTGCTATTATTTGTGCAATGTGCAAATACTTTCAGCAATGACCTGAAATTCTCCTGATAAATGAGTTCAGTACCACCAGGTTAAAACTTTACCTCCATAGGAATGTCACTTGGGTATATTTGCTAGTTTCCCCGGCCAGTAATTTCTGAAGTTGAGCCATTGATAAGTTTTCAACATCTACAGTAGAGGTAGTTTTGATCATCAACTGCTATCCACATGAAAGTTTCTATATCACAGCCCACTGGCTCTCACTTGTCATGGTCTGAAGTATTCTGTTACAAAGAAAAAAAAAAAATACTACAAATGAAAAGATGTGAGGTTTTTTTTTGTTTGTTCGTTCATTTGTTGTTTTTGTTTGTTTGTTTGCTTGGTTTGGTTTGTTGTTTTTTTTTTTTTTTTTTGTAAGTCACTGAACCTGAGCACAGTTCCAAGCTCAGCTGTACAGATTTACAGAAATGCCACTATACAACTTTCCCTTTGATCTTTGCAAGTATCACAGAATGATAGAATCACAAAGGTTGGAAAAGACCTTTAAGGTCATCTAGTCTAATCTTTCACCTACCACCATTGTTGCCCACTAAACCATGTCCCTAAGTACTATACCTACCCTTTCCTTAAACAGAGAGATGACTTCACCACCTCCCTGCAGCACTGCCTGGGGTTGTTATCACAAAAGTGCAGGACCCAGCATTTGGTCTTGTTGAACTTCATCCTGTTGGCCTCAGACCATCAATTCAACCTGTTCAGATCCCTCTGTAGGGCCTTCCTACCATCAGACAGATAAGCAGTTCCTCCCAGCTTGGTTTCTATCTGCAGGAACACTGGGAGAACCAAGCCAAAAAGCCACGGCAGAGCACACATCAATGGAAGTTAGACAGACACGTAGGCAGTGTCACTCTATTACTACATCTGTCTTCATGAGTTGGGGATATACTGATGCAAGCATTGCAATGTTGCAAAGCAAACATTACGAGTTTCAGTCTCAGCAGACCTTTGGTATGACAGAGCTGTCACTCCTTCAACACAGTTGTCAACACATTGCTAAGTAACCATCACAACATGGCAGTGGCCTGCCAATAGATGGCAGAAAGGTCACAAGGTCAAATTTTCAGTAGCAGCTTCAGCAGAGCTTCTTCTGTAGAGCTCCCCTTGGCTGAGTAACCGAGGAAACTGAGATGTTCTCCAGCAAGCAGTACTTGTGCGAATAATTAATAAATAAATAAATAAGGAGGGGGAAGGAGAGGAAATATAAAATCCTCAGCCTGCTTTGCAGGCACAAGTGCAGCTTGCAACTATTAAGCTGAATTTCCAAGCCATCAGAATGAGTTTTCATCTATATCTGTCACCCTTTTTCCCCCTCCATCAGACATATACTCTGATCTCTAAGCCAAAGGTGAAGTTTTAGGGGTTAAATTCACACCTTTTGCAAAGCACCATGCTTACAGCCTTGGGAGATCGTTGTCAGCCTTGGAAAATTGACAGGTGGTCTCTAGTGGGGCACTGCTGCTTAGAGGGACGGCCCTTTCCCTTCAGCAAGGAGCTAAGTGGAATTAAGTCCTGAGCATTAGATAAAGTCAAGAAAGCAAGAGACTTATTGTACTAACTCTTATCTCCAGAAACACCTTTGACATGCAGAATGTTTGCTCACTGTGATTACCTGGGTGGAGAGGTTACTGTTGCTTAAACTGTTTACTTTCAAAACCACAACAGTTTGCCTCCACCCTCCTCATGCTGCCCTGTGCACCTGAGCAGTAACACACCTCAGTAAAGCTGGGGAACATCAGGAATGACTACAAAGAGTCATCAGGAGGGTGCCACCTTGGGGGCACAACTGACAACAGACAGATGCTTCCACTGACAGTCATCGGCATGAGGGAGCAAATCTGCCTCTGCTGTAAGGACTGCTTTACAGGAGTCCCAGGGGAACAGAGGGCTCAGGTGAAGAACAAACCTGCAGAAAGGCATCTCTTCCTTCCCTGAACCCTGACCCTGCCAGACAAGAAGCCAAAGTGTTTCTGCTCATTGAACAAATACAGCTTTAAAGGCTTCATGTACAGTGCACAGGATGGATGTGCTCTCCCCTACTCTGCTGGGGGGAAGGAGCTCTGTCTCTCTCTTCCCTTTGTTTTGTGCATCTCTGAGACTCTTGCACCTTTTTTTAACGGTGAAAGGAAATGAGAAACAGAATTGAGTGTAAGCGGCATGGTTTCAGATGTCCTGGTTACTCTGCCACCACCAGTGCACTAAAAAGAAATACCTTCAGATACAGAAGAGATGAAAAATCAGTACTGGGTTGATTCCTGTGTGGAAGTCTGTGTTCCCTGAGGTCACTAACAACACTTACGCTGGCTTTATATGGTAGAGAGTTACACCCATAGTCTTTGCCCTGGCCACAGCAAGTTTGTTTCCTGGCCAGCAGTGTGTTCTTCTGCATCTAGGCCATTTCTGGAAACCAGAATTGATAGGCTAAGCTTCCATTACTGGGCTTCCCTTGGGAAGCTATTCCACACACTAACAAAAGGCAGTTGCTAGCAAAGATTTCCTGATATTCAACTAAAAATTTCCTTTCACTCAAACTCTTTCCATTACTCCATTATTTTTTTTTTTAACTTCTCCCTTAAGTAGTGTATTCTGCTTGCCTCCATCCTCACATGATGAAATCTTGTCGTGATGTGTGAAAGCCCAGCTTTTCCCTGCTCTACCCTGGTTCAGTCTCTTGTCAAAAAGAAGCATGCTGCTTGTGATGCCAGGAGCAAGAGTCAGATTCTCAGAAGTGAGAGGAAACCACAATTCCACTGCAGTCTCTGACAGTAGCTGTGACCATCTCAAGCTGCTTACAGCAAGTGAAGAGCCTGAAATCCAGATGTGATTGGCCTGGTTGCTTCCAAAGTCAATCACACAGTCACCAGCAATAGAATAGCCAAAGTGAAGAGATCAACATTTCATGGTTTAGAAATATTTCCCAAAATACCCAAACCAAGGAGTATATGAAAAGAAAAAGGCTCCTTACAATGGCTGAGCTTTGCATTCCAAAACAGGAACCCAAATCTCTGCGGTGGCATTCGTTATGGCATTTCAGCACCACACTTACCTTGAAGTATAGCAGTGTCTGGCATTTCTGAGCAGCACCTACCATGTTGGGATCCTACTTTATGATAGTTGCCACAGAGCTGGTAACAGTACTAACAATTAGTTACAATACCGTCTTTTTTCCTCAAACTGTTTGAGTAAGAAATCATTAAGAGTACTGAGTACCATTATGCCTTTTCTATCAGAGTAACTTTATCTCAGTGCTAAAAGTATTCTTTTAGCTTAAGGGTCACTTAAGCTCAAGGCACAGCCAGCGATATCGCCCCAAATACATGCCTATTCCAGATGTTTTGGTGACTGTAACACACAAAGAACAATTATAGCATGATAAAAAGCACCCCTTTTTCCCTAGAACCTAGTTCCCTCTGCAGTCCTAAATAGTCATATGCAAATCAAATGCAGGTAGCAACAGGCTGTATATGGCCCAGATACGTGTAGGCTATTACATTAATTATATTAGTTATGTGGGACAGCCTTGAAAAATTGAGTCAGACAAGTCCATAGGAGATGTGCCATGACTTCAGCCACTCCTGTTCAGCACTTTATTGCTATCCTCTCAGCTAAGGCGTGTGAGCTGAACACTGCCTGTAGTAGTATGAAGTAAAACAGGATGTCATAGATCGTATACTATAATAATTAACTTTTAAAGAGGTGAAGGTATACATTTAATGTCTCAGGGGTTGAGAACAGGAAAATCAGTATAACTCTTTTATAATATATTCCTCCACCTCTCAAGTACATGGACCTACATATGTATCTCTTAAGGCTCACTTACTTTAGAAGTTCACCAGCCACCCAAGAACATTTTCCAGATAAGTATAGCTTTGTTAGTTTGCTCAGGTCTGCAGCACAAGAAGCAACATTGAGGAGGATGCTTCCAGGAAAGCTGGTGTGCAATGAGAGTACAACAAAGCCTCAGTGAGGCTGGAAGTTAAGATAGCTGGACATAATCTGGGTCCCAGAGGCCCAGTACTGTGAATCAGGTGAGGCTATCACACAGCCAAAAGAATGAGTACCCGCAGGAATGGGCTGTGCTACTGAATGCTGGGAGCAACTGACATTATCAGAGCATAAAAGCAGATAGAATAATGTTGGGAAGCAAACAGGACACATCTTTCCTTCTTCTTCTTCTTCTTCTTCTTCTTCTTCTTCTTCTTTTTTTTTTTTTTTTTCAAAAGACATACCTGTGCCAGCCCTTATAGGCTAGGCCAGCAGCTCATTGATCTTTGTCCTATTAGTCATGACAAAGGTGTTTATGACAATGATGAGTGTGTTTACTGGCACTGTAAAGCACTTAGTAATGCAGTCAAAGACGAAGGTATAGATGGGCTAAGGACATGCAAAGATAACAAGCAAGTCTCCATTCCAAGGCATTTAAGATGTAATTACAAATTATCTACCCTTCTAGTGAACAGGGGTCAGATTATATTACAGGGATTTACTCTAACTGAGTAGGATGATGTGAAAAACCTGATGTCTTATTTTTCAGTTGTGGAAAAGTCCATTGGAAGCTGGGCAAACTGCTCTACAGACAAAATGCAGCCCACAGGCCACCAACTGGAGATCTGGTTGTGAATCTTGGAATCTACAAAGTGCTTCAGACATATTCATTTAACTGTTGTTGTGCATGTTTAACATTGCAGGAAAATAAAGTCCTCTGAGCTTTGGTTACTTTACAAATTGCTTTCAAAGCTGGCATTTGGAGAACATAAAGCTAGGAAGTCCTAAACCAAATAACAATTACACTGTGGGGAAAATTTTCTGCAGTCTTGAGGTCTGACACTTGCAGAAGGATGTAGGGGTCACAGGCTGCTTCACTGACTCCCTTCACAAAGCCCCTTTCTGCCATGCACAGAGTATTTAGACAGAAGGTTACATGGGTTAGATTTCAAAGCAAGGAATGTCAGAAGAGATCTTCCAGCCGTGAATGGCCTCCAGATGTGGACTGTTCTTCTCCAAGCATGGGGGAAGGGATGAGAATGTGTTGCGTTTGTCTCATGAAATTAAATGGAAAAACATTGTCTACTGAGTAGGCTGGGCAGGGAGGGAAGGTGGAGTCTGGAACTGGGCAACAGAGAAAGAAAGCAGAACCACAGCTTAAATACTTTGACACACACACATTGTCCTAAACGCAGTAGTCTCTGAATTATTCATTAAAAAACCACAGTGGATATCAGCAAATGGACATGGAAAGAGCATAAAAAAATAGAAGGTAATTTTCACAGAAAGTGTATTCTTTCCCCTCCCTGAGCTCTGACAGGATCCTGTGTTGTGAAACACCCCTGGAGATGCTGTGGCTAGGACTGTGTGCTGGTTGAAACTGCTAAGCCACAATCAACTTGTTTCTGTTGCCAGCATCCCACAGTCCTGGGCTTGTAGTTGGTTGAAGATAACTCCTCTGCAAAGATTGTCTGTGGGCAGCTTATACCTCCTTCCAGCTGATCCATGCAAAACTACACTCCTCAATTGATATTCAGCCTCAAGCAATGAATCTATGCAAGCTGAGAGGACCAGCACACTTGGGGACAAATTTTACTCCCAGTTATTTCTGCAAAAATCCTACTCATGGTTGCAAATACGCGGAATCCAGATTTCACTACTGATATGGAACTTGACATTTCCTGCTTGGACAGGTGTAGCTGTTGGATCCTACATCCAGAGCGTATTTACTGTTTGTTCAGCAGGAGAACATTAAGTCTCTCTTCTATTTCCTAAATGTGAAAGGACATCTGTCTCCCTGGTAAAATTAATAGGAAAAACAATACAATTCTCCTTTTAATAATTTGTTTTTGCTCAGTTTTTTGCTCACTTTCACTCATGTGGCCTTGTTTCTTGTTAATCCTGTGGCTAGCACACCAGTGCAACAAATGCAAGGAATGTCCATAAGGTATGTCAGCTGTCCGCCTGGAAGTTTGCAGTCTTCTCCAGCTCACTGGTCACTTTCTGCTTCTCTTGCAGTATCTGGCCAGCTGACAGATATTTGGAGGATGACTGTAAGAAAAAAAAAAAAGAGTTTTACTAAAAATGTAGAATCTGTACTATCCCAGATCAAGCATCCAATATCTCTTCTCTAGCTATCACCAGTTATTAAGGAAAGAAGTATAAGAATGAGAGGAAGAGTGAACTATATCCCAGTACATCAGTTCATCTTCCATCAGCCTGCTGATACAAAGATAGTATCTCTGCTGTTGTATTCAGCAATGACAGGAGCTGTGCTGCACAGACATGGCTATGTTGTTCATGCATTGCCTTCTATAACATTCTGTGGCAACGAGCTCCATCATTCCTTGACGCCTAAGTGGAAAGGAACGTAGCTTGTTTGTTTTAAACCTGTAGCCTGATCACTTTATCAGGTGCCATTAGGTTATGTGATAGGAGACTGCGTGAATGTTCGTTCTCTGTTGACGTTCCCCATACCGTTCATGGCTTCCTTTCAGGCATCTCATTTCCAAGACTAGCAATCCGTTCCCGTCCAGACTCTCTCTCCTATTTCTGATCATGGCTGACATTCTCTCTATGCATGCTAGTGTTTCTAAGCTCTTCTAAGTGGTTCTTGAAAGCACTTGAAACCTCCAAATGTTCAGAAAGCCATGCAGTATGAGGAGGCATATTCTTCTGTACACATTCCTCATGCTTCTGTTTGACTTCCTCGGAGCCTCAAGAGAGCTTTCAGCAAAATGCCTGCAATGATTCCAAGATCTCTTTCTCTGCTGCCAATGTCTGACCTGGAGCTTCTCAGTGTATCAGCACAGTCAGGTTGTTTTCCTCCCCGTGGAATTCCCTTGCATTTGCTGCCGCTTTATGTAATCTGTCAGGGAGGGCCAAGACCCTCTGCGACAAGAGATTTTCTGCAATCCTTTGCAGTTAAATTCAGATTGTCTCTCTGGAATAACTGTGGGCCACAGGTAAACTGTTAACTTGCTATTCACATTCCTCTCCTAGTTGTTACAAGTATGTTGAATAGCATCAGAATTACAGAGCCCTGGGACATACTTCTGATGAGCTCTTTGTCGAAACTGACCATTCAAAGTGCTCACGCTGATGCTTGTTCTCTTACTTGCAGTCCTCTTTGTCTGAGCTCCCCACACCAAGAACTCAGCTTTGAGAGTGCACAGGTCCAGTGAATGGGACTGCCTGGCACCAACCTTTTACAGATGCAGTGCATTGGCACTTGAGGCATGTGAGAGTATTCTTGGTGATATCCAGACTCATTCTTCTAATGTTCTCGATCTCAAATCCACATACACAGACACTCTAGTTTCTGTGTTGCTGAGTTTGAGTGGATGTGAGGCCTACAAGGATGTGAGGACTACAGCTTTGATAGGACAAAGGGAAATTGTTTCAAGCCACAAAAGAGGAGGTTTAGACTGGATATAAGGAAAAGGTTTTTTACAGTCAGGTTGGTGAGGCACTGGCACAGGTTGTCCAGAGAGCTGATGGATGCTCTATACTTAGAGACACCCAAGGTCAGGCTGGAGGTGTCCCTGCTCATTGCAGGAGGGATGGACCAGATGGCCTTTAAAGGGCCCTTCCAACTCAAACCAATCTATGATTCTATGATTCTGTGAAACACAGAAAAAAAAATCTGAGTTACTGCATGGGAAAGGTTGGTACTCTTCCCACAAGTCGGGGACATGGTGTAGATCTTCACCATTCCTTTCCATTTCCTCTGCTCCCAATGCTTGGCTCATTCCTGACATGACCCTTCTCTTTTTTGACAGCTGGTGATGGCAGGCAAGGATGCATTGGACAAGTTTCTACTCATGAACAAGCTTGTATATGAAGGATCCTCCTTGAGCCATCCATCAAGTGGGATGGAGAAGAAAGCAGATCAATGAGCCAAATGTGGGCACAGCACACTCTCCACCCTCCTCTGTCAAACCACAACTCTCCGAGCCAAAATCACTCCGAGGCTCATCATGCTGAGTTTCTTCTGAAACACCCCAGCTCCTCCACATCCAGCCCCTCAGCCTCCCTCAGCTCAGCTAGCATTCTCATCTGAAAAAATCAATCTTCTGCTCCTGATTTTGCAGCTGTAAATAACCCACACGGCCCATGGTTTCAGGTGCCACGCTGTCTCCAGGATGAGAGGGGCCACCTTGGGGAAAGAATGCCAGGCATGAAAATGCCTCTGTGGTTCTTGAGACAGGAATTCCTCTCAAACCCCTCCCCTCCCCTCAGTTCCCCTACTGCTCCGTGCAGCTGAAACCCAACAGCAACAAAGACAGGCAAGTTGAGTCACTGCACCACCTGGGTATCGATTACACCTGCAGGTGGAAACCAAGTTATCAAAAGGAAGACATCAGCTTCGCCAGAGGATTCTCCCTGGCTCCCTGCCTGGGCC